TTGAGATAATGAAAACAGCATACACAAAAGACGACCAGTAAAGAAAGGAGTGGTCACACAGATGTTTGCTCTTTTCTTTTCTGATCGTATGTTTCGTGCGCTGATCTTTTCGTCTTAAAACATGTCCCACCTATTGGTCCATGCTTCAGTCTTGACAAGAATTGACCTTTATAAAGCGTATACTGCTATTTTTTAGTGCAACGTATTGATACGTGCTTATGAAGAGATCTAATTGCACAGAAGGGAGAGATAATAAAAATTGCGGTTCTAGCGAAGATCTCCGAGAAGCTCTCTGCTTCTTTTTCGCCTTGGTCCAGTGCTCCTTTTTACCCCGTTCACTTCTTTCTTCGATGTATCATTACTCCCCCGCAGAAGGAGACGGCGTCCCGCCGTTTTGCGGAAGGATGTAGGACTTGAGCCTTAGAACGTGGACGGTCTGCGGTTGATTAGCATGTTAGTTTTCGGAAGATTATCAAGGCTTAACTAAATATTTGACTTCGGTGTCTTGTCGAATAATCTCGTATGGGCTTCTGTAGCGAGGAAAGATCTTTTTAGCAAGGCCAACGCGTCGTTGTGGTGTCCACAGCAGGAAAAGTCTCCAGGGGAGAATGAGACGACGTAATGAGTTTGATCATAGCACACTCATTGGCAATCTATTGAGTCGAGTGTTCGAAAGCGTGCCAGTTGCCGCGCCTCTTCAGCCCGACATGTGTTCTACGACACGTAATCCGCGAGCGTTCACTCGTCTTGTAATGGCAGAAGGTAATCAGTCATGAGGAACGGTTCGCGGCCAAAGAGAATATAAAATGAAGAATAACCGGTTATGTCATGGCGCGAAGAGCATCCCAATTGCGCAGGCCAGATGATGTGTACATAGATATTATATCGGAGATTGCCCTTTTGAGGCGTTCTACCATCTCCTTTGTTGTGGGTGGTACGCCGTTTTGCGTTTGTTGATTAAGGCGCAGAGGCGTGAGATCTAATCAACAACTCTTGAAACAAAAGGACGGCCGCGGTCAGAGACGAGTCCACTTGGCGCACCATGCATCAGAATGACCTTCATTAATGCAAACTCAACGACGTTAATGGCTGTGGCAGTCATAAGTGGCATTGCAACTGCGTACGGAGTGGCGTAATCAACTGGAACTGCGACCCAGCGATTATCAGTGGAGGAGACTAGAAACGGTACCAGGAGGTCCACTCCTCCACGCTCAAACGGGTGGTGGGGAAGGGTCAAGGGCTGGAGTTGTCCTCCTGGTCGCCTGGATGATGTTTTTCGACGCTGGAGGGGGTCACAGGAAGAGACAGTGCTTTATGATACGGTACATATTTTTCCAGAAGAACCGTTCTTTCACGTGGGCGTAGGTGCGAAGGACTCCCAAATGGCCACAGCATGGAGAGTCATGAAGCTCTGTGAGCATTGTGGTCTGAAGATGCTTGGAAATAACTCTAAGCCAAGGATCTGCCCGAAACTTGTGTTGATAAAGGATGCCGTCCTGAATGGTGTAGACGCCGGGCGATGAGCGATTTGTGCCTGAAGCGGAAACACCAAAACGCCACGTGCAAACAGAAAACAAATGCAGCAGGACGCAACAGTACAAACAGAGCAAAGGAACCCTTTAAAGATGTAAACAACTCTTGAAATTCAATCTCTCCTTTCCTCCGCCTAACCGATTTCGCAATTCCTTCGGTCGGGAGCAATGGGATTCGAATAAACTCGATTGCCCCAGCGTTCAACAGCCTCATTACAAAACATGAACGTTAATTATTTTTTACTTAATATTTTATAACACCTTAAAGAACATAAATCTTAGACAAAAATGTTTATCTGCGTGTTACCATGTTTCTACGGATAAGTATCTGCACAAATTTGGAACCAGGCGGAAATTGATTGCAGAGTCCCTTTATGGCGAAATGCAATAAATTTCTTCAGAAGAGCAAGATATTTCGAAGGCAGTCATTTTCTGTCTTAACATCGCAGACAGGATGGAAAATAAAACGCATGACTAAATTGTGATTGAAATCACGATTCAAATCGTGATTTACATTATATCAGTTTTACTATGATAATTTAACCTTTCCCGCAAAAATAATGCCGAAAATGATTTCTTTATTTACAGATTGGCTATCGTTTGATGGTGTCTATGTGAATTTGTTTTGCATTTAAATCAGATTCGTCCAGCAAAGAAAATTAATATCAGGCTAAACACGAGCAAAAAGCAGCGTTGTTTTTGGCAAATCGGAGCGGTGAGTTTTCCTTCCACCTTCGTCGGTTATGCAACGTCCGTTCGCAAGCATATCAGAACTCTAAATAAAAAAGAACATGAAGCTTTAAAGCTAGCTACAAAATACAAGCTCTTGTTGTTTAGTATGCCTGGGCTTACATAATTAAAGCCTCGCTAATTAAACTATAATTTATGTTATGTAACTCTTTCTTCCGCATTGCTTTGAATGACCGGACGAAATGATCAATATTTCATGTTTAAAATTACGTCTAATAATAAAAAATCACTCTTTCTTAGCTACAGTGATATACAACAATATAACATAATTTAACAAAAAAATCTGATTTTTTTTTTTTAGATTCGATTGTACATGACCCTTTTTCTGTCAAGCTCGGTTTTAATCATTAAAGAACTTCTAATCATATCTAGTTAAAATTAATGCCACGTTGCAAAGAACACCTTTGAAAGTGACAAGTTAATTGGTAATTTACCTAGTTGCTGCTCTGGTTATCAGATTTCTGTTGTGGTTTAAGTGCTTTGAACAACTATACTCGGTTACTTAAAGGCACGCTGATCACTTGCAAAACATTTTTAAGTGCCCAGATAAGACACGTACGTAAAACAAGTGGCTGCATGTTTGGTCATTCTGCCAAACGCGTTTAAATGCGGTAGTTTTATGGGGTGGGTGGTGCTCTTTGTTTGGGTGCTGCCTAGGGCAGGGTTTTGTATGGGAACAGACTACGTCACACCATTGTCTTTCTTCTTTTTTTCACGCTGCACGTGCTTTTTTCGGCACCGTCCAGATTTGGAGCCTTTGCGCTGGATTCTCTAGGTCACCAAGAGAGGGGAAGCGCTCTCTTCCCCTTTCCACTCCTCGTTCCGCGCGCTCTTTTTCATACCACCTGCTTCTGCTCTTACCGTTCCTGCACGCTGCGTCTTCTGCTCAGTCAGCAGCGCACTCGGCTTCCGCGCCGGTCAGTGGGGTTGGATCCCTAGCACCAGTTGTCGTCGTTTAAATGGATAACTGTTCGATAGATAGCTCTTCTCACCACTGATAATGGCGCCCGTTGTCGATGTCGATGTTCTATTTGATGTAATAGAGCGTATGGTGTTCATCGCGATATTGCCAACTGCTCGTAAAAACATCGTCCTGTGCTCTCGGTATTCGAACCTCAGTGTGAAACGGACGCGTTAGCACGGAGCTACGCCACCACAGCGTCTTTGCATACGGCGTTTGCGGAAAAAATAAAACAAGTGCTTGTGAGTCTCGCGTGGAGCCCGCTAGATGGCCACAGTTACTGTGACATGGAGATAACAATTCTTAGTAATTCTTAACTAATTCCAAATATCATCGGAACTAATATCTGAAATAAGCTTCGGCTAGGTGGCGTAAGCCACTGCCCGATTCAAAGGGCTCATCCTTATCCGTTCATGCAAGAGCACGTATAAGACAGGCCTGCGCATTACCTCATCGTTAGTGGATCCCTGAGCCGCCTCAAACGGCCAACGCGCTGAAGCATGACGAGAGTACGGCCCAAGGCGAGAGACGCGGATGTCTTGGCGTCTCCGCGTGCTAGCGGCGCGCTGGTTGGGAGACACTAAAGGACGCGCTGGCTGCGACGCTGATACCTCTCGCCGTTCGTCGCAGGGAGAACTGAGAGGTGCGTACTCTCGAGAACAAAGCCACTTGAGACTTCGCCGTCAAGACGCCGCAGTGCGTGAACGCGACACCGATGTCCAACGACTCCGCCATGACGTGTGGCAGTTATTGCTCTGAGCGTTGTGTGCATTAACGCATGATGCTCATTTTTTTAATCTCGTTCAGTAGCTACGGACTGACCCACCTACATCTTACGTGCTTACTCGCCTCCTGAGCTTGGTTGGACCAGTAATGCTACCTCTTTAGTACCGCTTTAAAGAATAGTTTCACCGTGCGCACAATTTAGAGGATTATTTACGTCCCCAGACACATTTTGACTCTGGTGATCTGGACGCGAAACTGGCGCACGACACAAAAACAATAAAGTGGTAAAGAAACAAAGGTGAGGGCGGAAAACACTGACTGTTTATTTTGTTTTAATTATTTCTATAATTATTTTTTGGTTTCAGCCTGGGGTTCATTGAGAGGTTTGAACGATCATTCCGATACCTCCGATACCCCCAATAACGATAATACGCATGTACAAAAGCGGCGACGGAATTTCGGATATCGTTACGGAGCCATCGGAATGATCTATTAAAACTCTATATCGTGACAACAGTCCACCAGCTCGCCTACACAATACATTTTGAGCAGGAGCCATTCGTACCCTAACTGAATCCTGTTTTGAGGCGTCAAACCTCGACAGATAGGTCAGTTTTGAAAGGTCTCCCTTGAAAAAAAAAATTTAGAATGGCAGCTAGCTTGAAATGTGCATCACGGCGTTTTACGCACTACTTTGTCTGTGGGAAAAAAACAAATTTATGTATATTCGTTTCCTACTTGCGCACCTAAATTGAGTTTGTTGTGAGCTCAACGTACTATCGCGGACAATATGGACTGAAACAGCCCTTCAGGCGTCTTTGGCGTACCTGGCAGTTTTTGAAAAGTTGTTGTCCGATCTAGGCATCAAAACTGACGTCCTATGCTTTGGATTTTTTGGTAAACTGAGAGATGATAGATCTCGTGAGAACCGCAGATGCAGAAAAAGGCCACATTGGGTTTTTCAACTCATATAGACAGGAGGGATACCAGCCACTAAGCTTTGGGGGTAGTTCGCACGCGTCCGCCCGCACCTCGTCGCTGATGGGCGCCCTGAAGCCTCCGCCGTTGGCGATGGCTGCAGCCACCGAACTCCACGAGCCGTTCGCCCTGAGTGTCCTTTGGGCCAGGAACTTGAGGAAGGCCTCGGTGACCACGTTGCCCAGGTTCGACTCCCCGAAGCGCGTCGCTTGCTTGTCCCCCTGCAGCAGCACCTGCGTGCTGGCCACGGTGTCGTTACGCTTGGACTCCAACAGAGGCCGGTACTGGTCTAGAAGCGCGAGTCCATCGGGGTCTGCATGAAGAAACCGCCAAAAAGGCCTTGCACAAAAAATCCCAAAGGCCTTGCGTGTAGCTCGCTACCAAGCACGGGGACGCCCTGTATCCTGACGCCTGCTAACACCTGGCACTGAGGAGAGCGAGGAAAAGCAAGAGGGTAGCACAGTTGCTTGCCTGCCTGCCCTGTCTGCCGTCGTCTCCGAGGTCGCCTCCGCTCTCCGCTACAGCCGGTTCTCACCGGGATATTCCCAGTAACCTTTCCGGCGCCGCGAGCGTTTTTGCAAACTGTCTATTCACTTTTATTTTATGACTGTTTCGACACGTTGGCTTCGAAATCGAAGTTAGTTTTCGAATCGCGCCTAATTAAAATGTGCCTCGCGGCGTAAATATTGCCGCGCGCAGGGTCAAGGACTTGTAGAAAGTTCTCGTTCACTCTTGCTGCGGACATAACTATCGTTCATCCCTGTTTTTGTTGTTCTGGAAAGTGCTTGTTCATTCTCGCCCCGAGCGCGCTACGCTCGAACCTTCTCCGCCGAATCTTCGAGATACTGACTCACTCTAGATAAGAGGCCGCCCGCGACCTTGTCGAGTCAGTCTCACCCCATCGCTCGATTCTGCTGACACGCCGACTTCGACGCCCGCGACGCTCTGCTTTCTTCTGTTTCCTTCTTTATTTTTGGCACAAGTTCGCCACATTAAACATTTATTTATTTCTGTTTATTTCTTGTTTATTGGTCACGACTCACCACCCGTGACATTCTGGTGGAGGTGCTGGGTACCGCATGCCCGTGCAGCGTTCCCCTCCCAGGACCCGCAGTGCAAGCCCGACTCCAAGCTCGCTGAGAAGACCACTCAGCGCGGAACCTGAAACTCGGACCAGCCGCCGCACCAAGGGAGAGGATCCGGAGTACGGTTTGCTCCTGGATAAACCCAAGCCGAAGAAGACGACGATGGACAACCAGTCGCAGGCCCCCGCCGCTCCTGCCGTCGTCTACCTGCCCGTCGCTCCTCGGACACCGGCTCCGTTCCACGGCGAACTCCACGAAGACGTTGAAGATTGGATCGACCAATTCGAACGCGTCGCCCGCCACAATAGCTGGACCAACGAGCAACGGCTGCAAAACGTGTATTTCTCGCTCGAGGGGACTGCCAGAAGCTGGTACGAAAATCACGAGTCTTCATTGACATCCTGGGACATTTTCAAGAGCCAGCTGAAGGCGACATTTGTCAACCAGCACCGCCGAGAGAGAGCCGAAGACTTACTGCGTACCAGGACTCAAGGCCCCAACGAGAGCATCACCGGCTTCGTGGAGGATGTTCTCCGCCTAAGTGCCCGCGCCGATCCTCAGGCTACCGAGGAGAAGAAGCTGCACCACCTGATGAGGGATGTGAAAAGCGAGATTTTCGGCGGTCTCATCCGGAATCCCCCAACAACAGTCGACGAGTTCATCACGGAGGCGACAAATATGGAACGGGCCTTGCTAGCCCGCGCCAGACACTACCAACGACACCCTGGCGTAACTACTCTAGCGACATCTGGATCCGACCTGGGCACCACCCTCCCCGACATCCGTGACCTTATCCGTGAAGCCGTCCGGGAGGAGTTGAAGAAGTTGCTACCTGCTGCCACAAGCCTGGATACGCCCTCAGTCGCCGAGATTGTCCGGGAAGAACTTCAGCAGGCGCTGCAGCCAGAAGTTCTCGCCAGCGCCGCTCCTGAACCACCGAAGCTGAGCTACGCCGCAGCTACCCGACGACCACCGCCCCCTGCTCACCCGTATACGGCGCCACCTCGACGTGAACCTTGTGGGATTTGCGGCCCATCATCGGGCAAAAGAACCTGTGCTCCGCGCCCGGCGCGCAACGTGCGCGCGAGCCACGCTCGAGGCTCGGGGGGCTGGGCAGTCGGTTGGCTGCCGCCAGACAGTAAAGGTGTGTTCTATGAGATCTGCCTCGTTGGTCCTTCTTGCGGGTGAGCAGTAGCACCGAACCCTACATTATTTGGCGCCCAACGTGGGGCCTACTGCTCGCCCGCGGGTTGGACCGCAGGCTTTTAGCCCGTTTTAGGCGTGTTCGACCGGTTTTCTCGCTTTCGCCATCCCCGATAGGCCTACGTGGTCGTTCGACTAGGCTTCGGCCACCGGACGCCATCTTTGCCATCGGGGCTTGGCCGTTGTGAATAGTGTGCTCGCAAATTTAGCTAGTCCATTGCCGTGCCCAACGTTACCAACGATTTCTTGTAGAAGCCTCTCCAGAAGACAACTGTTGATTCTTTTTTTCTGTTCTTTTTGAACCTTCGACATGTCCCGCTACTGCCCCAACCGTTGCGGGAGGTTCTATCAACGTCCTCGATGAGCCACGTGGTTTCGGGGACTACGGCAACGCAGTGGGCAGCCGAGGACCCTCTACCGGCCCTAACTACGCCGCCAGATCAGCAGCCCCGGTTGCGGCTACAACGACGGCTACGAGACACAAAAACGGAGACCAGGACCGCAAAGAAGGTCCTCCTGAGCGTTACGTTGCCAGCCAAGGCCCCGGGGGTACCCACTCGTCCTTAAGCGGCGGACCAGCATCAGGGGTCTCCGGTGATGGTGCTCAACTCTGACAAGATGAACACCGAGAAGCTCTTCAATCTGCTCTGCCTGTATAACGATGTCGTCAAGATCAAGTTTTCGAAGAACAGGAACGGCCGTGCCATCGAGCAGATGGAGGATCACCTTGCCAAGGAGTGAGCAAGGCCCTTTAAGCATCCTGAGAGTACGTCGCCCTTCAAGGACTTCATGGGCAACTGCAACAACCGCATCACCAATCCGGAGGCGGCCTCTACAAACCGCATCCGGCCGCCTGCATCGTGACAACCCCCTCCTCCTCTACCACCAACAACCAGAGAGAACAGCCACGGAGCCAGAGGACAGAGAACGGGGGTGGGGGGGGGGGGGGGGGGGGGGGGGGGAGTTTGTGGGATTTGCGGCCCATCATCGGGCAAAAGAACCTGTGCTCCGCGCCCGGCGCGCAACGTGCGCGCGAGCCACGCTCGAGGCTCGGGGGGCTGGGCAGTTGGTTGGCTGCCGCCAGACAGTAAAGGTGTGTTCTATGAGATCTGCCTCGTTGGTCCTTCTTGCGGGTGAGCAGTAGCACCGAACCCTACAACCTCTAGCGCCGCAGTATTCACGACGCCATGAAGATCGGACGTACGTCCGCCCAGAGCAAGCTGCTCCACGAAAGACCGACGTGTGGAGGACGGCCGATCGACGCCCGTTGTGCTACCACTGCGGGGAGGCCGACCATATCTACCGTCGTTGTCCCTACCGGCAAATGGGCCTGCGTGGGTTCCACCCGAACGACCCACGCCCGAGGTACGGCGAACGCCCTCACGACATCGAGGAGTACCTCCGACGTTCCCCCTCCCCACACTCTAAGAAAAAATGGAGGAAAAAAGTAGCAACGGCGCGCCTTCCTCCCTTCTACCGACGCGCCCCCAAGCGGACACGAGAAAAAAAGAGGAACGAAATGTTTTTCTCCTTCTCCAGGCAGACGGGAGAAAGCTTTCGCCCTCCCGACTCAGCGTCTTTCGGTTTCGTTTTTCGAGCAGGTCGCGCGCGTTGTTTAATAAATAGCTGTTGAGTTGATTGAGCTCCAGCAGCAGCGAAGGCCGCCTGTAATTCCATCTTCTAGTTTAAACGTCCAGAACATTTCGGTTGCATTGACGTTTTTATCACTAATTTTATCAAACGAGCAAACGAAGCCGCTAGAAACAGCGAAGTTCGGAGCAGTGCCAGCAGCGCCACGTACACTGGGGGATGGCCGTCTCCGGATTGCGGGACTCGCGCGGCACGGAACGACGGAACTACAGCCACTGCAGGCTGCAGCACTACAGACTACAGTAGCGAAAGCACGCGGAACTGTGTCGACGTTTTCGACGTTATGGAAACTGCAGGAACTGCGTCCAAGACAGGCAGGCTTTGCTGTCGGCTGCCTGGGTGCCTTCCCCCCTGAGTTCGGTTCTGTTTTCCGATGCCGAGTGCAACCGGCGTTCAACGTGGTTTTGTGTTTGTGCGTGTCAGCAACATCGTGATGACAGTGTTGGGTTGTGAAAAGAAGACTGAAATTATCGCCGATGTGACCATGTGTTCGCGTATCAGTGGTGTAACAAGAAGATGAGATCGTAAACTGTTGGGCATTGATGCCGCTGGTCGGGTTGTGATCGGAGGGGGCGGGGTGTCGCAGGTTGACATTCCGCTTTACATTAAAAAGTTTAATACCACTTGAGGGATTACGTGCAATCGATCAACGTGCGGATAGTCATGTTGGAACGCTGGTCTGAACAGTAGAAGCTCCTACCGTACAGTGGCCAATGTGACTGTCGGAATTGTCTCGTCCCCGACAGCGATTGCGCTCAGGGGCAAGGACTGAACAGTACGAAAGCGTGACGTAAAGTGCGTATATTTACAGTATGGAATATCGGCATTAAAAACAATAGTAGGTAAAATCGAAAAAAAACTACCCTTTATTTTGCTGTTTAATTATACTACGGTTGCTGGAGAAACTGCCCTCCGTGGCGCGCTGGGATGAGCGCTGGCGTAGTTCCGTACACTTAACACCTGCCGCAAGTCGCGGCTTTGACTGCATTCAAGTTGATCGAAAAGCAATTTCTCAGTCCGTGAAGCATCACTTCCAGCTGACTGAATACCCACTCTACAGAGATTAATTCAAACGGCAATTGCAGCTTCGCGCGAACAGCACAAATAGAAAAACAAATAGAAATACAAGCTACGACTTGCCGTGTGGGGAAACAAACTCATGGCTTCGAACCGCATTGGAGCGGCTTGATTTATTGGCTTTCAAATAATTACGGCATGATTGAGCGTTTACTTTTTAATAAGAGATTCAACCCCTGAGCCATTCAAAATACTCTCAGAGGTATGACATTGCAGGGAAAAAATCAACATGCTGGGAATATTTTTTATTGCTTAGGGAGTCACCGAAAAGTTCCGCACGTTCAAAACGACCAGTATA